AAAAAAGAAAATAAAACATCGAAGAACTATAGACTAATTAAATGGGAGAAGAGTGGTAAAAGTTTAGAACCTAAAATTGCAAAAAAGAAAGTAATGAAGAGAAAAGCTTGCTTAAAAGAGGCCATCTTAATTAATTTGTAAAATATATTGAAGCATAAATGTGTAAATATTGATGCTTCCCTTCCTTCATTGAAGGTTGTATTTATAGGACTAAATTAGCCAGAATAGAAACTTGTGAGAAAATGACAAAATGGTCCCTTAAATATATTTTTGAACAATTTTGTCTTTTACATTTGCAAAAGTAAGCACATTTGGTCTACGCCAAATATTTAACAAGCTCTAATTATTAGAGTTTGTGAGAAAAAATAAAACAAATTTAGAATTTAACGAGTAATACTAAAAAAATAAAACTATCTATGAACTTCGTACCTTAAAGAACTTTTTGATAATCCATCTCTAAATAGGAATAACGATGCATTTTTGTTGTTGTTTAGCTACATAATTTTCTATTGTTAATCCCTATTTTTTAAAGTAGTAAACTCACATTTGGGGATGCAAGTTTTTACAATTAAAATCTAAAGTAACAGATAACTCCTTGTATCATGACTGATGTGATAACTTGGAATAAAATTATCACCTCTTAATACTAGATATATTATACATATAATATAATATATCAATATATATAATTGAAATTTTTCATAAAAAATATTTTTATATATGATTCTATACTTTTGGTACATCCACATCCGTGTCATATTAAACCATCTAGTAATTTTATATTTGTCATTAATGAAGTTTCAACACGAAACGAGTGAACTCCATGTGTCCAAAATTTTCCATCCATATTTTACCCTTTTTGTAATTGTATCACCACTAATGCTCAAAGTAATGTTAGTTTTTTCTTCATAAGTCATAATTGTTAGGAGTAGTTTTCTTTGAGGTGACATTTTTCTATATTAAGTCATTTTACGATCCAACTTTCTTGTGTCTCTCTTTAAATGTTTATGTACTTAATATGAAAAAAGTGTCAAAATATCATTATTTTGTTTTTACTTATTGAATTAAAAATACCCTTAACATTATTATTTTTTTATCTAAAAATGCCCCTAAAATTTAACTATTGATTAGATGGGGATTTAAACAAAGTCATGTTGGTACTTGGGATAATTCAGTGTGAATTAACTTATCCAATTCAGACCCTAATTATTTATTATATATTAAACCCCACCCTGATTTCTTTCTTCTTCCACATATATTTATTTAATATTGTATATTCCTTTTATATATAGTTGGTAGTGTTTCATTTGTCAGAATCAAAATAATATGGTGTATGTGGAAAATAAAATTTTGAAATATGTATATTTTTTACTTTGGTGGTGAAATTATCAAAGTTGTCATCTTTTCATCATAGCTCTTTTTTTTTAAAAAAAATATTCTGTATACTGATAAAATTAAAAGGAAAAAGAGATAAGTATCCCTAAACTATATATATCTCAAGTTTCAGACACACACACACACACACACATATATATATATATATATTGTAATGACCCGGAAGGTTATTTTCGGGAATTTCAAACTATTCGTTGACTTGAGTTAATTAGTTGATGGGTAATTGTGGATAATTGACTCAATCGATTGCTAATGGGCTAAAGTGATAATTTATTTAAGACCCTATACTATTTAATCCATTTATATTAAAATAAGTAATAGGGATTTTCACTTTTAATATATAATTAATTTAGAAAAAAAAAGAAAGGAGAGGCGGAGGGCACAGTTCACGGCCACAAGATAAGCGACCCATGCTTCAGGTAAAATCTCAAGTTTATTTTGTTTCTGTATTGTTGTTATAGGAAAAGAATAGTATATTAATGGTTGGTGATAAGTTATATTATTATATTAATATGTCAAATTAGAAATTGGAAGGATTATGGCGGTTTTGGTGGAAAGTTTTAGGGGACAAGATCTGTATGTTGGCATTAATTAATGATTCATTCTTTCCATAGTGAAAAGTAAATTGAAATTGGAAAATGCTCTTGTGCAGGTGATTTAGACAATTAGATGGATAAGTTGTTAGTTAGGGTGCAAGTATTAAGGGTTAGTATGGTTGCCGCCACTGGTTCATAACCGATTGACTTTCATTTTTTATTTAATATTATATGAACAGATAGATATGATATTGGAAGAATTATTGTGTAAATCATATCACATGGATTGTGATTAATGGCTGGAAGTTGGGGCAATGAATTGTATTAGCATCTTTGGCTATTAAGTTGGAAAAAAAAAATTACATTCGAATTGGAATAATGGTTACAGCTTGTATACCTTTGACATAATTTAGTGGTTTCATTGGGAGAGGATGGGTTTAGATGGCTTAGATGTGGTAATGTTACGAATTGGAGTAGATTACATAGATCAATTCACGTAATTTGGCTCTGGTTTTGGACCTTTCTTATAGTTATTATATTATGATTCTAGTTTTGATATATTGAGTTATACAATTAAATATTAGGTATATTATATTATATTATATGAATTACATTAGATTGGTGATATTGGAGAAAATTGAACGAGTTGTCATGTTAATTGACATCAAGATTTAAGAACTTGATTATAATTTTGAGTGAGTTTTTGGGTCTAGGCTAAACCTATAGTAATATGAGTATTGTTAGTTTTGAAAACATATTGTGATTTTTATTTGAATAGATCGAATTGATTTAGAAGTTCAACGAAAGGGGAAGGTTCAAGTCCCGGAGTGATTGTTCGACTATTTCAGGCAAGTG